TTGAAAGATTTAAATAACAGATTTAGATTCCAATTAGGTTTTAAGTCGGTAAGATTAGAAGTTTAATCTTAAAGATAATTATAGAATAATTAAACATGTCTTGTTAATACAGTAGGTCTAACAATCGGTTATTTACGGCATAAAATAATAGGAAGGCCAATGGAGAAAGGAAGAAATTCTGAGCCCATGTCCTATACTGTAAGTGTGGTCAAGGATATAATGGTATTAAAACACACATTATGTAAACCAGTGTTTTTTGTTTTGTTTTTTCAAAGCAACAAACGTATGTTAAACGTACTGTTGCTTCTTGGCAATCCATGCAAGGCGTTTGTCTTAATCGGAGGCATTGCTTGTTACTTTGATCATACGTCTGAAATAAAGCAAAGCATTATACATGGAATCTGGCACTTCCGCCCGCTCTCTCTCTCTCTCTCTCTCTATCTATCTATCTATCTATCTATCTATCTATCTATCTATGCATCTATCTATGTATCTATCTCTATCTCTATCTCTCTCTCTCTCTCTCTCGAGTCGGCATTAGTCAGCACAGGCTGAGCTCCCTTCATGGACATAGCCCGGGTAAGGTTCAGCTTCGCATATCGGACTTATCCTTATCCTTATCTCTCTCTCTCTCTCTCTCTCTCTCTCTCTCTCTCTCTCTCTCTCTCTCTCTCTCTCTCTCTCTCTCTCTCTCTCTCTCTCTCTCTCTTTCCATTTTCCTCCTCCCCTTACACTCAAAGACATATAATTTCAATTCTTTATCAAGTCTAAAATACGTACCATCCAGGAATACGGGAAGGCATATGGACGGTATGAGAGAGGGTGCTGATGGCCGTTTCTGTCTCTGAAGTCATCTCCGGGATTGAAGTTGAAGTGTCCGCACAGACCGTCTAGACTGTCCATATGGCTTGGGTAAGCCCAGATGTGCATGGAGGAGCGACAGTGCTTAAGCTAACGGTCGTAATGTAAAGTGTAGTGCGGTTGTAAAGCAGTAACAGGGATAAAACAAATCAAACCAGCAGTCTAAGTTTCATTATAAAAGGGAGATGTCTCAGACTAAGATCTCTATTCCATTTTTTTCTTAATAAGTCGGTGTCCAGACTGGCAGTACAATTTCTCTCACCATAATTTTGGAAGCGCCCAATAGGATGACGCAACCGTCGCTCTGCCACACGAGCACGGGGTGGGTTGTCGGGCCGGACGATCTAACAGGCACGATCCCAGTCTTAGGGATGACGAAATCTTCGCCATTCACTATTATCTGTTGGTATTGAGTTTGTTCGTTGCTGAGACTTTGATATATAACTGAATGAATAAATGTATTGAATATTTAATCAAAGAAGAGCGACGGAGAAAGAGAACAGGTTCAACGAACTTTTAAGTGAAGTCATACCGGAAAATATCTACTGACCGTGTTATTGTATTTGCTGGACAAGGTGATGATGGTGTTCGGATTATCCCGGAACGTGGTCGTGTCTAAGCAAGAGGCGCGACGGTTACAAGGCTGGAAGTCGCAGAACACACCTGTCCGGGGGTCGTTGGACAGATCGCTCTGGGCAATCGAGTAGTTACAGGTGCCGTGCCAGTCGTACCGGTAGATATCAAAGGTTATAATGTGAGGGTCATTGTAAAGACCACATCGACTACCTGGGGAAAGTAAAACGCGATATACGTGTATAAATTTTCTCCTTCACAATTGTTTAAAAACAAGATAACTCGTACAAGACAGATGAAAAAAGCAGTAGTCCAGTGGTCCTCAAACTTTAAGGTAGCTCTGGGCAACATTTATCAATGCTAATAATGAATAGCGTCGAATAAAACAAATGAAACAAGTGAATCTGTAATTGATATCAGACAGAATTACAAAACCAGCATGACTGAACAATATATATATATATATATATATATATATATATATATATATATATACACACACACACACACATACATATATATATATATATATATATATATATATATATATATATATATATATATATATATATATATATATATATATATATAAGCCGACATCAGAAATTGAATATATAATAGTCCTCGTGAAATAGAAAGATTAATCTGTAAACAAAATAGTCGAATCCCATTGCTGTGACGAAAACATTGTCACCATGTTACCATATTCACTAAAACATCACATCGCCGTAACAGCATCGTCACTAACTGTCACTAACAGGCGCCAAGACTGAACTCACAGCATTTATCAAGAGTCCAGCTCGTTGTCCATTGGCCGCCTCTGCAACGTAGCGGAGTGCAGTGTCCTGGCAATGTTGCTCCGTCTGAGTAAAGGACGCCAGCAAACTCACAGCCTACAGGGCGAGTTTGTTGCCATTATTATTCAGCTCTATATTTTTTTTCGGCTTTTCATTTTATTTTTTTTTTTATGCTGATATATCTCTTTCTTGCATGTACGTGTATGTAGAGTTACAATATGTGTCCTAAACATCCCCATTAGTTTATTGCATGATAGATACAATCATTCCATTGCTATTCGTGGCATTAATGTAAAAAATACTAATAACCTGTATCATAGTGCAATCAGAAGATAATATGCAATAAGACATTTACACTGACGTACCAGATTTCCATACTTCCAAGCAAAGATATTGAAATTCCAAAATCAGTTTCATTAGTCACCTCACAGCCGAAGTTATAGGGTACATAGACTTACAGTTTGCATCGCCTGGTTGATAGAGATACTTCTCCACAATCTTCCCAAATAAACACACCAGCTGCATACAACACACCGGGAGACTCAGGACCACTTGCCCTTGAGGAACTAAGACATTTCCATAGGGACAATATTTCTGTAGTGATTCGAATCTCTCCATAGCGCCACCCTGACCTGGTGTGAAAGTTGGCATATATGCAGATATTATTTCTAAACTGTTTTGATAAACAAAAATATGTGCGTCCGATTTCAGGAAACGAAAACTGGCAACTCACCTCCCTCTCTGGAGTACTCCGATTCGCGTTTCTTGTTTGTTTGTTTGTTTGATTTTGTAATCAACAGATATTTTATATTCGTTTACATAAGTTTTTAAATATATGCACTATATCTGTTGATTTACACCACTGTATTATTTTGTTTTCTGAGAAGAGACTTGTCAAATCAGAATACTCCAGAGTCTAGGGTGAGTTGCCAGTTATTCCTTTCGGTAAGTATAATGAAGTTTAGGGACTTACATGGTTCCATAGAAAGGGAGAGGGTTAAAGTGGTTAATTCAGGATTCTTCAAAGGCAAAAGTATGGATCATTTGGGTAAATATATCTATATTTTTATTTTTATTTTTTTAGGCGAGGGTCAAATTCTTACTTAACCCATTGCCGCCGGGGATGGCATGTACGTACATGTCATGTCCACTGTGAGCCGACTTGTTCGATTGTTTTTACACATATATGGCTACATTTGTACTAAGTATCCAATGAGCCAATTACGAGTACTGCCTGTCTCGCCCGTTCACCATTTTCATCGATTTACGAAAATATTTAACGTTATCCTAATTTGCTATTAAAAATAACACCATCTATATTTATAGCACTAGTAAGAATTCGTTTTTTCCCGCCAATTCAAGGAAAGATGAAATCAGGACTAGCAGAGCCATCTATGGACAGACATATTCCTCAATAATATAAAAAATGATTACTGTATTTCCCCCATTTTTTGTTCATTTTCCCCGGCGGCAATGGATTAACCCATTGCCGCCGGGGAAAATGAACAAAAAATGGGGAACATGCTGTGCCTATTTTCTATACTTTTTTGTTAAATGTCTGCCCATAGATGGCTCTTTTAGCGCCTGCTTTGAAATGGCGGGAAAAACGTATTTTTCACTAGTGCCATGAATATCGATGGTGTTATTTTTATTAAAAACATTATAATTCTTATAATGTTTTTTTAACATTAGTAACAGGAAAATAAGATAAGGTAAAATATTTCGTAAATCAAAGAAAAGGGTGAACGGGCGAGACAGGCGGTACTCGTAACTGGCTCATTGGTGATTTAGTACAAGTGTAGCCATCTATGTGTGAAAACAATCTAACAAGTAATCTCACAGTGGCCATGGCATGGCATGCCCGGCGGGAATGGGTTAACCATAAAAAAAAACAAGTACACTAGAATACTAGTAATAATATTTGACTAAAATGAAAATACAAATTAAGATGAAGGATCAAGTGAATGTTGAATCGTTACCAGGTTCGCTCGCCCCGCCTCCGCTGCAGATGAAGGTTTGGACATAAAACAGTTGCGCGACGAAGTGAAAGAGCTTATTCATTTTCATCGTACCTTCGTTTTATAACTGAAAAAGTAATAATCACGGTTAGGAGTCATGTTTCTTTCCCTTTCTTAGTTTCAGTGTGTATGCGTGTGCCTGTATGTGTGTGTGTGTACATATATACAATATATACAATATATATATATATATATATATATATATATATATATATATATATATATATATATATTACATATGTATGTGTGTATATATATATATGTATGTAGTATATATATATATGTATTAGTATATATATGTATAGTATATATATATATATATATATATATATATATATATATGTATGTATGTACTGTATGTACACACACACACACACACACACACACATATATATATATATATATATATATATATATATATATATATATATATATATATATATATATATGTATATATATATTACACGTTATGCTTTTATATGTATATATGTATATATATGTACATATTCATGTATTCATATGTATATATGTAATATGTATGTATGTATATGTATATATATATATATATATATATATATTCATATATATATATATATATATATATATATATATATATATATATATATATATATATATATATATATATATATATATATATATATATATATATATATATTTATATATGTGTGTGTGTGTGTGTGTGTGTGTCTATATATATATATATATATATATATATATATATATATATATATATATATATATATATATATTATATATATATATATATATACACACACATATATATATGTGTATATACATGTATATATGTATATATATATATATATATATATATATATATATATATATATATATATATATATATTTATTTATTTATTTATAGATATATGTATAACAAGACTGGAAAATATGCATATATATGCGAGGATGTGTATGTGTATGTATATGAATAAAGAACTTATATACATGTATCTCTCCGTCTGTCTCACGCACATGTACACATACACATCCATACCTACCTACATACATATATATATGTATATATGTATATGTGTGTATATATACATATATTAAAATGTATTTATATATATGTACATCTGTACATATATATGTATGTGTATATATATATATATATATATATATATATATATATATATATATATATATATACATATATATATAGATAGATAGATATAGATATATGTTTGCATGTATGTATGAGTATGTATGTATATGTATGTGTATGAATAAGTCTATCTAATTCTAACTCTAACTCTACATATACATATACATATATATGTATATGTATGTGTATACATATAAATACACACACAGTGGCCACGTGGCGACACGCCCTGAGCGGCGTGCCCACAACGGCTGGGCGGTTCTCTTCGCCCCCCAAGCCAGCGTCTCGGATACTTAAGGCAGCGTTTTGACCCGGTCAAGGGAGAGTGTGCCGTGGGTCGGTCGAGGTCACATCTGCCCGCTGGGCTGGGCTCGGCGGTGACCCAAGACTGTCATCGTTGTGTTTATTCACTGTGTGCTGAACTCTTATCAGTAAAAGAGATTTAAGCCACCAAGCTTTGACTACTCCCTGTCACCAATGTTAAGAGGCCCTTATATACCCCTTACACACTCACACACACACACACAGGGGGCGCTCATTAAATCATTTCCCTTGACCCATTTCCATTTATCCTAGGAGGCTGAAAATTCACATGCATAATAATACACAGGCCCTTAACTCAACACGTTTTCTGTTACAGCGGTGAAGGTACAGTAAAGTGTGAAAATGGAACCAGTGGAGTATCGGGCAGTGATCAGGGTTTTATACTTAAATGGCAGCACAACACAAGAGACCATCCATGAAATGAAAGATGGCCTTATGTGAAGGATACCCCATCAGGTGACGTTAAGCGTTGGCATCGCCAGTTCAGGTGTGGTCGAAGATCTGTGGAAACGGCTCCTATCCCAGGACGACCTCAGTCTGCCACTGATGAGGACACCATTCATCAAGTGGAGACTGCCATTTTGAAAGATCGCCTTATTACTGTTCTTCAGCTAATTCAAGATGTCAAGATTAGTATTGGGTCTGTGAATATCTGCATATACAAAAGTTGTTTGCTCAATGGGTTCCCAGGCTACTCACACCTTTCCAGAGATAGGAACGAGTTCTTTGCTCCAAGGTTCTTTTAGCTATGCGCCAAGAAAACCAGGTCTTTTTTGGCAGACTCATTATGCAGGATGAAACTTGAGTCCATCACTATGATCCAGAAACTAAGGCCCAGTCAAAACAATGGAAGCACTTTGACTCACCACCCCTCAAAAAGGCACGGGTCACATTAGGCAGGCAAGGTATGCTCACAGTCTATTGGAACCGGCACAGAGTAGTGACAATGGATTTCCTGGCAATTACAGGAGCTTACTACGCTTCACTGCTACAGACATTTCGGGAGGCTATATACACCAATAGAACGTTGATCAAAGGTGTCTGCCACCTGCAAGACATCGCCCCTGTTCACAACTCTCACATTGCCCAGATTGAAGTGTGGAACTGTGGCTACGATATCCTTCCACATTCTCCTTATTCTCCTGACTTGCGGCGTCTGACTTTCACCTCTTTCTGTCCATGAAGTCATTTTTGAAGGGCAAACGTTTCCAAGATGATGAGGCACTGATTTCTGAAGTCATTTCACGTCTTCAAACGCAACCTGAGGATTTCTACTAGCAATGTGTCCACAGCTGCAGAAACTAATGGGAGAGATGTGTCACTTTATTTTTTTCTTTCTTTCTTTTCTCTTCCTTCCTTTTTGTTTTCGTTTGATATATCTCTTTGCATGTGTGTGTGTGTTTGTGTGTGTGTGTGTGTGTGTGTGTGTTTGTGTGTGTACACATACACAAACTGATATATGTATATGAAAATATATATATATATATATATGTATATATATGTGTGTGTGTACGTATATACATATATACACACACACACACACACTTACACACACACACACACACACACACACACACACACACACACACACACACACACACACAACCACACATATATATATTTATTTATGTATATTAATATATATGTATATACTGCATATATCTGTATATGTATATGTGTATATGTATGTGTATATATATATATAGATAGATAGATAAAAGAGAGAGAGAGGAGAGACTGACAGAGAGATAGACAGAGGTAGAAAAGTCAAAAGGCAGACAGACAAAGTGACAGAAAAAACGAAAACTGGGAACAGAAAAACGAGAGAGGAAGCAGAAGAAAAGAGATGGAATACCTAAAAGAGAGGCGACACAGCCAGACAGATCAGTCCTTCCTCACCTGCAAGTTTAGTTCTCTAAGATGAAGCGTGCATTCCCTTGCCCCTCGATCCGTGAACTGTATTTATACGCATGCGAAACAGGTGTTCTGTTGCGGCCACCTGGAGTTGATGCCTCCGTTGTAGACTTCTCAATGTATATATATTTTTTTTAATTTCAATTTTCAGCCTCGCCATTAGTGTCCCTGTTGTTATCCTTATAATTTGTGTTGATGCTGGAAGTACCATGTTTGTCGTTATCATTTCTGTCAATATCCCTAACCGTCGT